GAGTAATTTCACAAAAAATAATTGAATATCAATTCAATAAAAATTTATTTAAAAGAACTAAAATATATTATAGTGTAACACCAATTAAATTACAAGTAGGACAACAGGAAATAACTATTGATTAATTAAAAACCGGGCAAAATACTGTATAACTTATTTATTTATATGGGCAACAAATGACAATCACATTACATGAGTGGGAGTTAAATATGATATTTCAAAGTTCTGTACTAGATTGTAATCCTACTTACGTTGACATACCATTGTACCGTAACAATTTCTTGTTACGGTACAATGATATTATATATATTGTCGATCTTTCGATCGACTGTTCTTAATTTGCTACTGTGCCGCCACCACGATCTGTTACTATTTTTATTTTGCCTAGGTAATAAGGTATGACGTATATTTTTTTAATTTAGTTTCTTTATTGATAACATTATTTTCTCGGTTTTAAGTTTTTGTCACAAGCGCTTTCAAGAATATTGAGGCGACAAGGAATGTGTGAATATCCATGTAAGTGCTCAGGTGAGTTATTACTCCTTTGAATATTCTGAATCTTGGATCAAAAGCGTGCCTTATTCCAGCGTGACTATGGTCGAGTTATAGAAATTTCACTAGCCAGAACAAAAAAGTCGCCACAACAAACTAGATTCAGTCGGTCCGCCGTTCAAAAATTATAAGCGTGTTCTACTGTACACTCTGGAATAAGCTTATTCCAGCGGCACCATTTCTCAATCTCGAGAACCACAACACCTAGCTTAGATCAGATTACACTAAAAAAAGTCGTGATTTAGTCGGTTCTAGTCTTAAAAAAATAGATTTAGTTGTTACGTCGTTTTGAAGTTATTAAGGTGTTTTACTGTTCACGCTGAAATAAGCTTATTTCGGCGGCACCATTTTTGAATCTCGAGAACCACAGCTCTTAGCTTAGATCTGATTGCACCCAGAAAGTCGTGAATTAGTCGGTTCTAGTCGCAAAATTTTAGAATTAGTCGCCTCATTGTTTGAGAGTCAGCCGGATCGAAGGAACTTTTGTTTTCTTTTGTGTTAATAACAAAAAGGAAGTGTTAATCTTATAAATCCTTAAGTAAAACGTCTTGTAAGGTTATTCGCGGTTTACGCTTCGTAGAGAGGTCTATATTATGGCCACGAAGAATCTTTAAGCAAGCATGGGAGCTTTTACGGCAAGCAAGCAAGAACGTTAATACATAAAACACATTGACTTACAATTATATGGACGTCGGGTCCGCGTTAAAAAGTGTCCGAACTTATAGGGCGTTAAAATCGTATACAGAGCGTCATTCACGCTTTAGTCTTCGTTTGTTCGACTGACAGCGAAGCAAGCAAAATTAGACAGTACTGCGATGACATTAAAATTCAAATTCAACGTTTTAGCTTTTTCACATTCCTTTACATGTCACTACGTTTAAATAGGTTGACTTGGGACATTTTTTTCGTGGTTTTTGTATTAGACCCGTCGTCCATTTATTTGTAAGTCAATGATAAAACAATACATTGTCTGACGATAGCCGACGAGGGAGCGGCCATAACAATTGTAACTAAGTGTCCTGGGAGCTTTTCCCTGAACGCTTTTTATAACTAAGGCCATGGTTACTATGGATGAGCGTTCTGACGAAATTGTGTTCTGTCAAATTCGTCCAAGCAAATAAACGCCTGTTTTTCAATGACAGTGTTTAACACTGACACAACGTCATCGTGTTTCCGTGCTTTGAGTTTAGAGTGATTTGGTTATTTCACCATCGATAGCGATAAATTGATAAGTCTTGTTTACAGGTGTTTGTAGGATATGAGAGACAAAAATGATCGTAACAGAGATATTTCTTAGCTAAAGTGGGTGAAAGTTGCTACAGACCTCAACACTACCAGTAATTACAATTTTGTATTTATTTTTGATGTGGCGTTTACGTTAATTACATAAATAATTCGAATTAATGTTTGCATTTTATAACCGCCTTGTTCTGACGAGGATTTCCGATGTATTCGTCCGAACACATTTTCGTCAGAACTCGCATGAATGGTAACGGTGTAACGGTAGCCTAATATAATAATAACGAAAAAGATTATATAACTGACTGAGTGTCGTATTCTAGAACTCTACTCAATGCTCAGGATTTGAGTATGGTTTAAAGCACTCGAAATCATAGTCAAGTCCCTGCCATTAGGGTCGTATTTCCAGTGCAATCCTGACTTGAGCATTGAGTAGAGTTCTAGAATACGACCCTGAATATATAATAAACATTTCCGTAAAAGATGAGATTATTATTATAAACAAGTAAGTGTTGGAGAAATATAATACTTGTAACAAACTTGTATAATATCTGTAAAATTAATAATAATTATAACAAACTAGTGGAGTAATTTCTCAAAAAATAATGAAATATGGTAGTGAAAAATCCTGATTAAATAAAACTTAATTACAAATATTAAAGAAGTTAAATTTTCTTTTCACTTATCGCGCATCCTTAAATTATAAATTGACGAAATCCAAAACGCGTCGCATAGTTAATGGACCGGTGCGGTGGCGTAAAATTGACAAGGGATATATTTTTTTGGTGTTTAAAAATCGAACATCGTTTATTATTAAACAAAAGTTGTCTATTTGTGTTCACTTTTACAAGTAAGATAACTAAAAATAATCAACTTAGTGTTTGTAAAAAATCTACATAAAGTATATCAATTCAATAAAAATTTAAATACAGTGAACAGCGACATCTCTAGCCGGGGCTGGTAGCTTGTAAAGGTGACGAAATACTTTCATAGATGGCGCTACGGCTAAAAAGTTGTTGAAAAACCAAATGCAAAGATGGGACAACAAGCACATAGAAAAATTCGTGAGGTGCGCTGGTTCGTTCCGTGGCTTAGTTGGCATAGCGTCTGGCACCATATGCTAGAAGACGTCGGTTCGATTCGAAGAATTTTTTCCGCGTGTTCGATCTTTGTATTAATAATTATAACAAACTAGTGGAGTAATTTCACATTAAATTAAATGAATATCAATTCAATAAAAATTTAAGTAACAAACGTTCTTAATTTAAATCTACTATGAATAGCATAGTAACTGCCTCCGTGGCCGAACGGTTACCACGCTGGACTGGCACGCAGAAGTCCACGGTTCGATTCCCTGGCCGCGACAAACATTTGTATGGTTTACATTTATTTATCTCGTGAGTTTGGGTGCAATTGACGACCTCCGTGGTCGAATGGCTTGCACACCTGTTTTCATGATGTCACGATCTTTGAGTCCCGGGTTCGATACCCGGCCGGGTTAATGTAGAAAAACTTTTCCATATCGTCGGTTTATTGCAGGAAGTCATTAATTGCCATATAAAATTAATTACTTCTTGCACTAAGCCGACGATATTGTCTCCGGTCCGGGTGTCTGTGGTGACGACGTGGTTTCCGTTTCCATAACACAAGTGCGTTAGTTACTTTGGGATCATAGCAACGTATGTGATGTTTTCTAACATTTAATTTGTCGTTATCTATGTATATGTCCATGGCACCCGCGATACAGGGTCACCATAGTGCGGTAATATGAGTATTTGCGTTATTGTACGCAGAGAAAGGAAAAAACATTTTAATTGTACAGAAATATTGTACTTAGTGTAATTTAGTTGTCCACTAACTAAAACTCGCCTAACTGACAAATGGTGAAATATCAGTTTTTAAGAGGGAGCAGAGGAAAAATTCCTAATCTTCGATTAGATTTTAGAGGGGTATATCCACTTTAAAGTTAAAAATAAAATATTGTATGAGTAACTACACGATATATTCAAGCATAGACACTAATCAGAAACATAAAACAATAAAGTTTCCTCGATAGATAAAAATCACGAAATGACCTCAAATTTTCACATTTTTTCGATTTATCCTAGAAAAGCTACAGGCTATTAGGACAAAAATTAGATAATTAATTATATTTATACATGATCGACAACTGTCACTACGGATTTTTTTTAATCCCTTTAGTTTTAGAGTTATTCCGCTAAAACGAAATTGGTACTTTTAATGCGCAAAATTCAACATCTCCTATCGCATGTCACACGAACTTCAGGCATATATTTGTGTCACAAATTTGGGCGGAGCCAACGTCAAAACTTTTTTGGCATGCTCCCTCTTAACTGCATAGGAAAGAGCACAAAATTATCTTTTAAAAACTGTTAAAATTATTTAACGTGGACGACTTATCAGAAGTTACGTTTATCATATCTCAAAAAAATATTTTCTCATTTAGACGCATATTGGTCATTGACTTGGTACTAAATATGACATAATTTTAAAATGATATACTAATAATATATTCAGAAGAACAGACAAGGTGCAATATATTATGTTCCTTTACAGCACTTAATAAAAACAAAAAAGTTATGGTTGTACAGGCAGTCCTGAGTTGTGATTTAACCAATCATAACTTATTCTGAATTAAAGTGAAATATAATCTTTATTTCACATGTAAGCAAATTACACCAGAAATCGTCATACTGGTTAAACATTACTGGCTCATTCGTAAGGCAGATTCCCCTGAGACGAATGAGCAAGAAACTTAAGGGGTTGCTCCTTGCACACAAACATTTGAATATATTTATCATAATTATTAATACAAAAATCGAACACTCAGAAAAAAATCGTCGGATTCGAACCGACGTCTTCTTGCATACCGTGCCAGACGCTATACCAACTAAGCCACGGAACGAACCAACAGACCTCACGAATTTTTCTATGTGCTTGCGTTGTGTTTTTGTACTTGGTCTTTCAACGACTTTTTAGTCGTATCGCCATCTATGAGAAATCTTTGATAGATTTATCACCCAGTTAGTACCTTTACAGCTACCAGTCCTGGCGAGAGATGTCGCTATTCACTGTGTTAATTAAATTTTTATTGAATTGATAATCAATTATTTTTTTGTGAAATTACTCCACTAGTTTGTTATAATTATTAATACAAAGATCGAACACTCAGAAAAAATTCCTTCGATCCGGTCGGATTCGAACCGACGTCTTCTTGCATACCGTGCCATACGCTATACCAACTAAGCCACGGAACGAACCAACGGACCTCACGAATTTTTCTATGTGCTTGCGTCGTATATTTATCATTACAATATTTAATTTAAATATCCTAAATCGAGAATATCTGAAAAAGCTAAACCGCGGATTTTTGTCATCCAAGTACGCAGAAGTTGTATATGTATATGCAGTAAGTCGTAAATGGCAAAATTTGAGTATCAATTGGAATCTTATTATAGAAGCGTATACATTGCACCTTCAATGAATATGATACTTTATGAAGACGACGGTCAAGAATAGGTCGTTTACTATTATTCCTCGTGTTATGTTACGTCTGTTCTAAGTTCAAGAACCGTATTAATAGGGTTATGTGGTTACCTAGTAGTAGTTCGAAATGACATTTTCCAGAAATAACGTTTGCAAGAATTTTCATAACCTCGAAAGTAATTTGGAGAGGAAAATATTTTTTCTTTTAAATCTAACCTAACCGAACCTAATCGTGTCTTTGCGATAAACATCCAACATATCCTGAAAGAACAACGGTTTCGTTATAATTCGGTTTTCGGTGTAATGAAAATTCGAACAAACGTTATGTCGAAAAAAAAATCGACTTTGTGATAGGTTACTGGTTATGATGGTGCTTCATTATCACATAATCAAACTATGATATGCAGTGTGTATATTGATTTTATTTCGTATATATTTTATTCGTGTATATTGATAGCCGATGGGGTCAAAGAAACCTCGAATGGCGACCGTCTACCGAAAGACGTCGCGTAGACCAACCACAAAGTGCACCGAAACCAGATGAAGATCACCTTACCTATTTCTGCCGCCAAACGGTAATGCGAGCATTACTGTGTTCCGGTTTTGAAGGGTAAGGGTGCTGGTGAAATTACAGAGATGGGACTTGTCAACTTATGTCTTAGGTAGACGGGCGCAGTGGCAGTGCCCATGAAATCTTTGCTGCAACTGCTATGGACAGGCGTGCCGTTTACCACCCGCCAGACGATCCGTCCCGTCACTTGGTATCGTAAAAAAGGGTTTTGCATTGGGGATGCAAGATTATTTGCTTTGAATCGATTCTTTGGGTCATGTCTCTGAATCGATCGACGGATCGGATCGTACGCTTTTGAATCGATCTCACAAAAATCGTTTCAGAATTTTATATTTTTGTTTTTTTAATTAAATACCTTTATTACATTATTTAATTATCATTATAATATGTATATTGTGAACTTTTCAATAATAATGTCGTGTAACGTAATGTCCAAAGCATTGTCCTCCTCTTTATATTCCGTTTCTGTACTTGACTGAATCATTAGACTTTTCTTTAAATTATGAATAACATCTAGACGATTGGATTCGCCTTAATTTTGAATTGATTCGCTTAAAAATCGCATTGACATGTGTCGATTAAAAAATCGCTTGATCATATTCATGAAAATCGATCCCAATATCGCATCCGCTGGATGCAAGCAACAAAAGACTCGTCGTTGTGGCGTTCTTTGGGGAGGCCTATGTCCAGCGACGTACGTCTTTTTTTTATTTATAATAACAAGTAAAGGGACGAACAAGTCGTGCGCCTGGTGGTAAACGATATGCCTGTCCGTAACAGTTCTAATGCCACTCAGCGATTTTAATCGCAAAGATCTTAGGGGCACTACCACTGCGCCTGTCACCCGGAGATACAAGTTGACAAGTCCTATGTTCCTGTAATTTCACCAGCACCCTTACCCTTTCAAATCAGAACGCGTATTGCTCACATTGCTGCTTGGCGGCAGAAATAGGTAAGGTACAGTACTTCCTTGGACGAACTCTTACACAAGGAGCTCTACTGCTACATTTCTCGGCTGAAATGTTTTTTGAAATTTACCTCACTTTACTGAAGATGCGATATTTTCCTCAAGTCTGCTGTCCTCTAACTAGAACGCGGTGAAGTGCCAAATAATTTTCTGAGATATCATAAAAAAACATAACCAGTTTTAGTATATTGAAATTGCTTAATGTTATTTCGGCTATTCATCGTTAGGGTAATTTTAACTGTTTTTAAAAGAGCTTATGCTATTTAAAACGGATATTTCGACTCATCCGTAGAACAAAGATCTATGTGCAAGTCTACTTGTTTTCAGGACATAGTACATTTCGTTCGTTTTTCTTCGCTGTGGATGTCAGATCGACCGTTGTTCGATTTTATATTTCCGAAACGAAATAAGATATATAAATTCTCAAAACACCTTTAGATAGGTCTTAGTTTGAATAACGAAATTATTCTCATAACGTACTTATTCTCTTTTTGCTAATAATCACATCGGACTTTGTTCTTCGGATGAGTCGATTTGACCATTTGTCACATAGCCTCGTTTTAGTTAAAGGGCGGCGGAAGTGTTAAGAAATCTCGATTTTTATTAGATACTGTACATGAGGCGTCCTATTTTAATCAGGCCGGTATTCAGTCGGAAAGAAATAACGACATAATTATTTTCTCTTCTCCATCATTTTCCTTTTTTCAAGTCACGATCACTAACAGTTTCCGTTAAACATTGCCTCAGTACCTCTGGAGGGGCATGTAAAAGCAATCAGGTGTCTCTATGTGTCAGTAGTCTGTGTAAATGATGGGGAAGTGCTGGACGCGACCGCTGGACCAGGCTATGGTGAGGCAAGCACCGTCTGCGAAGTTCTGTTGGAACGCCATTGTTAGAGGCATCTCGTTGTCTATGCCTGGTATGAAGCAGCTGTAATGGAAAGAAAATTGGTGAGTTATTCAACGGGCTATAATCAGGATCTTAGGGCGCGTTCCTTAATGGGACTGTCGCGTCTAGCCTGTTCCCATATCACGACTATCTGCCGTGACTGTGTCGTGGACGTTTCTTTTATCGTTGAACGACTGTCGTTTCTAGCTATTCCCATTAAATCGTGACAATTTATCGGTTCACGGCAGCCGCCTTGTCGTTTGCACGACAGAATCAAAGATTCTCAGAACTAAAAGCTCGGTTAGGTATCTTAGGGTATGGACTATACCACACTTCAACAATTTAAGCCAACTTACCAAGGACTAATCTTTAGCTGCATCATAAGCTGAGTAGTGCAGAACACTGCGATCATATAGGATTCTTCGAATAAAAGAGCCAGGTACCGTCCAGTAGGGTCCCAACACATGTCGAGTATAGGCCCACCTACTATATCACCCGATGGTAGTTCCACTTTTGTCACATCCAGAGCTGGCTGAGCCTTGCTTGTTTGGGCACCTGAAGAGCAATTAGGTTAATGAAAAATTGCAAGCAGGCACAAAGCGTGAAAAACACAGAGGGCACCCGCGCGTGATGTTTTGATGTCCATAAGGTGTTTATGCGAGACCTCCATTTGTGGTAAGAGTTTTCTTTAGATTTTTCTAGATAACCATGTCATTCCGTTGCAGTGTATGTTTGCTGTAGTGCTTCGTGTTTAAAGTCTTACCGCTTAAAAGTCCAGTATTAATGAGTGAATACACCATAGGTTCTCCCTTAGCAGCAAACAGTAGAATGTCCTTTGGGCCCCAGCAAGCTGCAACGACGCGGCACCCGCGCGCAACCCAACGTTCTGGTGTCCATTGCGTAGTGTCCCATACTCTGTAAGTTGAATTAACATCTACAGTTGTCAGGTGCCAATACTTTTTTTAATATCAAGTGACGGGACGAACTAGTCGTGCATCTGATTGTAAGCTACACTCCTGTCCGTAACAGTTGCAGTGCCACTCAGAGATTTGAGGAGCAGTGCCACTGCGCCTGTTACCCTGAGACATAAGTTGACAAGTCCCTTGTGCCTGTAATTTCACCATAACCCTTACCCTTCAAAACCGGAATACAATAATGTTGACATTACTGCTTGGTGGCAGAAATAGGTAAGGCGGCAGTACAGTAATATACATGAGATACCTGACCCCGTCACATGCCCAAACTGACCTTTTGGTTCTGAGAGCCATCTTACATATTGAACAAAGAAATTTCAACTTTATAGTGTAAGCAATACAGTGGAGCGTTGCTTGAAGATAATCAGCCATAATTAAAACCAAATAAAAATTTCGTCATTTAACTTTCAAGTTTCAAGTTACAATACCTGTGGTTGGATTCCACAAGCACTGTTTGTTTTAACATTATATTCTTAACAGCATTGTTTCACTTTTTAGTGTTAACATTGACAAATCACAATATTTGTTCACTACAAATTGCCTAAGGTGGGTGGGTAGATGTTATTAATAAAGTGTAGGGTGGGTATGGATAGACGAAGAAATCACGGAAACGCTCTGCAGTTTGCATACGATCGTGACTTCTGTGATTATGCATTGTTCCACATTTCGTTCCTATTTGACTATTAAGTTTTAATTCAAAGTAATAGCAAGTTTTAGTGACTTTCAAAGTTTTCTATCTTGTTTTAACACGCCGCACTTAACGGAATTATTAAAATTAGAAATTATAGTTATGTATGAACAACACTTCGAAATTCCTTACACCTATCCAGATGTTAAAAACAAAAAACAATATTATATAGTCATAGCTAAACAATATTTTATTTTTAAAGTGGCTCGAACCATGCTTGCCTCAATTTGCAAAGCAATCCTTATACCGTTTGGCCACATTGGCGTTACTAAAGTTGGTTGAAATTTGTGTTCTGTATTTAAGAACCATATGTTAAAGATCAAATTCACTTAAAAACTTTCTTAAAATGTCATTCACTAATGAGACGATCAGGGAGCCATACCAAAATAAATTTTACTGCTCACAGGTTAAAGATTTAGTTTGTTTTTCACAATTTTCTCCACATTTTTGTGCTCAAAACCAAAAGGTCGACAACTCGGCTTGGGGGGTCAGGTATCTTGTGTATATGACTGTACATCCCTGGACAAACTATTTCGCAAGTAACTCTATACTACTAAAAATAAACAATTAGCAGGTTATACCTGAATATAATAGAAGATGTAGCAGCAAAGACCTTGCCAGCATCTAAAGACCACCTAGCAAATACAACACCACCACCAGCAACTCTTTTCAATGGCACTGCAGCTTCCATAGCTACATCCCAGATGAGCATAGAGGTGTCTGCTCCACTGCAGCTGATCAGTAGGTCTCCATTTGGAGACCAGCTCACATCAGTGACTGGGCTGTGACCAGATCTGAAATAGTAGTATTTTTTTTTCATTTGAGCTATAGTTACTAAGTTGTTTTAAATAAAAAAAAGAAGCCCCAGGTTCGATCGTTGGACCTATTTACATGGCCTAAACTTATTTCTCTTGTGAAAACTCACCCCAACTAGACAACCACACATTACACCCGGGTGTAATTTGAGGTTGTCTATGAGTGTGCCCCAGCAAATGCGATACAGGGTTTCCCTAGTGCAGGGCTATGAGTGAGTGCATTATTTATAAGCACACTTAACTTGATTGCAGGGCATGGGTATCCACTAAGAGGAAGGTATTACAGATTACAGTTACTACAATAGCCAATGAAACTTAAACTTAAAAAAAAACTTATATTTAATCTAACTATTTAACAAAGTAATTACCATATACATATACACCACACAGCTGAGTGTATGTCTCTTAGGAAGAGCATAGTACCTCTTCATGTAAGTAACTTTATCAATGTAAATAACGCAACAAATTACCAACCTTTTTAAAACAACAGCGTTGCTTGACGAAGGCTTTGTAAACATGGAATTGGGATCCACTGACCACACAATCACTCCCTGCTCACAGCCGACAGCTATCTCAGAAGCTGAGAAGGGTCTCCAGCTAAGCGAAGACACATGTCCTTGTGCCTTGCATTTTAATGTAGATACGAAAGCTGCTTCATTGCAATACACTCGTACATTATCATCAGCAGTAGCTACTGCAATTTTAGTCGTGTGCGGGTGCCATGCCATACATTTCATAGGCGCATTACACCAGTTCCTAGTCCTAGAGTAATTAGCGACGATTTTAGGACCTATGTCTTTTAAATGCGGCTGCAAGAAGTACCGAAGCGTCGTGAAGGCATTCGCTATTTTTAACAAGTAAGACGCTGTTAATGCCAGTGCAGGACTATCACGGTTGATTTGAGGATCCGCAGCGACGCCTAGGGCTTCAACAAAACCTTGTTGCACAAACACACTTGTCATTTTCTTGAGTAAATTATCTTCCACGTCCAAATACACGTTAATGTTTTCGTCTGACGGGCGGTGGTAGTGTGCATCCCTAGTTACGTTGATTAGAGGGTGTGTTTTCGTCTGAAAAACCCATAATGATTTGTTAAATACCGTTTAGAAGCAAGATTTTGCAGTAATATTACAACAGTAACGTACAGTCTGAGTAAAAGTGCCAATGTTTCCATATTGTGCATTCGCACAGCAGTAAACCTCGTTTAACTTGCAAAAGGCCATGTCCTCTGGTCCTGGTAATTCAGGGAATCCGTGGAAAGCAGACATTTTCACACAGAAATGAAATTATTTATCGCCACAAAATTTAATTCGCCGGTTATCGATTTTTCAAACAAGTTTTGTCACTGTCAGTGTGACTGTCAGATTCTGACAACCATTGCTACCAACAAAAGAAAACTTTAAATCGCGTTTATAAATAATAGTTTCTTAAAGACTTCGGATTTTTGCTATTTTGTACAGGATTACTCCAATTATTGTTGCTATTATGATTCGGTTTCTAGCAATAGTTAATAATAAATTGGTATTGTAATTGGCATTTTTTCATTAAGTGACGAATTTGTTTACATAGTTGCGTTCTTCTTTAATGTATATAATATATATCTATACGCTTATAATGAAATAATTATCTTAGTAGGTCATTAAAATCAGTTGGTATTGTTCACTTCTTCAGGCATGTTTTACATTAACAGAATCACAAAATGTAGGCCTACATTAAGTAATTAAACTGCATGTCGATTCTTCCGAACAAACGAGTTTTAATTTACTAAAATATGAGAAAAAGAACTTACATAGCAAGAATTCTAAATTTCAATTTCGATTTGTGTAAGTAGGCAATAAATTCAGGGTCTAGGTAACAGTCGTTCAAATCAGACAGAGATAAAAGGTTTTCCGTCGTCGTGCCGATGCCGTATTCAAAGCATAATAAGTAGAGTCTGACCGAGTCACAGTAAAAATCGGTTAATCTACTGTTTTATTATCTCCATGTCGGTTGCCAAATTGTTGATAGGATCACACTAAATGTGTTCATGGGTGACATAAAAAGCGATCCAATTAAGGTGACCAAGACTGACAAAATATGATAAGTAAGATGAGGATATTTATAATTCATAATAATTTTCAATACCTTGAAGAACTCAGTTTCAAAAAATTGTTGACAGTTAACAATAGTTATATAATGGCCTTAGGAGGATTGGTATGTCATATTTTAAATTTTCTGTGTTCTGTAGTCACTTTTGATGCTTTTATATGAATGGCATGTACTGCCTTCGATATACGTCGAAGTCAGTGTATAAAAATGTAATTTAATATTGAATAATAAGTGACAATGACCAATTGGATAGAGAACTGCATTTTTCACACAATGAGAGTGTTTTCTTAAAAAAAGACCGAATATCGGCTCCGAGTAAGAATAGGACTCTACCAATAGGGTAGTAGACAAAATTTACTGCAGCGTTCCAAGATTTATGTAGAGCGTGCAATGTGACAGTAGGGTAATTGATTCTTTGCTTTTCCAGGTGATGGTTTTTGGGAGATATATTGCTTGTATGTTCGAATTGTAATAATATTCAACTACATGTAGATATTGTGCATTATTATCTTTTTTTTGTTTTATTTTTAATTCTCCTGCAATTTAACGGTTTGGAAATACACATAATATTTATTTTTACTTAAAAATACCAATCTATGGAACGATTGGCACAGATTTGTGTGAGAAGTGGCATAACTTTCTTGTCGAATTTTTGAAAGTCGCAATTCACAATTATTTCATTTATTTGCAACGCAGGTAGTATAGAAATTGACAATAACAAAGTAAGTACAAAGAGTAGCAGTAGACCTCCTCGTGAAAGTGTTCATCCAGAAAAGTATTGCCACCTTACCTATTTCTGCCGCCAAGCGGTAATGTGAGCATTACTGCGTTCCGGTTTTGAAGCGTAAGGGTGCTGGTGAAATTACAGGCACATGGAACTTATCAACTTATGTCTCAGGGCGACGGGCGCAGCAGCAGTGTCCGTCAGATCGTTGCGATTTAAAGCTCTGAGTGGTACTGCAACTGTTATAGACAGGAGTGTCACTTACCATCAGGCGCACGACTTGTTCGTACCGCCATAATGTTATAAAAAAGGCACACGACTTGTTCGTCTCGTCATAAACAATTCTTTTACTATAGGTAGTTTTCAACCTTATGAATGGTAAATTTTGAATGTCAACCGGAAACTTATTATAGAATATAGAAACGTATACATTTCCCCCTAAATTAATTTGTGACTTTATGAGTACGATTATCAAGAACAGCTAGTTTATTTTTATTCCTCGTATTAATGTTATGTCTGTCACTATTTTTCATAAAAAAAAAATATTCTTCTTAACAAAAGTTACATTTTACTACATACACATTATACTTACTGTGACGCTAGTATAAGAATGTTATATTGTTTAAATTTATCTCTCAAAGATTGTAGTAGTTCTTATTATTTTTATTACGTTTATGTATAAACGATGGTTGAAAAAAGGTGTTCCACACAACACAAAATATTAATTAATTACTTTTTCGAATTCCGGATTTCCGGAAATGGTTTTATTGCATCGTAAGACAAAATTACTGACCTAGGAAGTCGAAGTTGGATTTTAAAGTAATTCTAATGGTGTAATGTAAAAAAATGCAGTAGATAACCCGACCTTTTACTAAAGCAGAGAATAAAAACGTAACGAGAATGGTCATTCTCCTTGTACCTATGTCTATACATGTATCTATGTATGTGGAACTTCTTTTTCCAACCATTGGTTATAAAGCACTTATACCTATATTATACCAGGCGTACGCTTTATCAATGTCTTCCATGGAAATCGAAATCCATCAAAGCTATCAAACACTGCTCGACTGTTTTTAATTAAAAGATAATCGATTTGATGAGTTGTAATGTCTGAGAGTTAGTGTTGTTAGTTTATCTTCCAGCTTAAATTTAGTGATAGAAACCTCAACTAGAGATCAACTGTAATGCATACAATCTGTAAGTTATTAGTGTATTTACAAGAAAGATGTTTATTACAATTAATTATTTTCACGAATTTTTTAATAGGTTCGTTGGAAAATTCATGTGTCTCATATTCATCGCTCGTATATGGAATAAATTGGTAGCATTC